GACACATTCATTCTGAGTGTGGTTCAAAGCCTTGGCTGGTACAGAAACAGGGATTGAATCTTGTCTTACAGTGATACAATTATTTCCCAAAAGAATGTCACAGATGATATCCTGAAGAACCCCAAATACCAGCCACCCTGATCTCTCCTGGGTCTGCCCCTGGATCTGAGCCATCTGCAGGTTGAATGGCTTCACATTTAGAACCTTAAGCCAGGCCACGCAGCCCTGCAGCATCTGGTGGGGTTGCACCACACAGGGTCTGACAAGGTGTCTCTCTGTCCTAGAATCTCTCCACCCCATGAATGTCTTCCCATTACCCACCACCTTCCACTCCCACTGCGGGTCAGAGGAGTCTGATTCCAGGAGAGTACAGCAGGACATGTGTACTGGTACCTGGAGGGGGAGCCCATCTGTCACCACCCCCTGGCCCTCCAAGGAGCTGGCTGTGACTGCTTTCCTCTGAAAGGTCAGTCGCTTAGTTCACTCTCCAGGCCTGAGCTCCAGGCTGCCTTCTTGGCAAGGGGGGATGAGTTAGATCCTCTGTCCTGGGCAAAACTTTCATCAAGCTTTGGGCATCCTCCCTACTTACGCCCTGTTTTTCCACCAAGGTTGCACCTCCAATCCTTGCAATACCTCAGCAGGGGTCTACCAGGATTGGCTGCTCCCCCCACTTTGGGTTTCCCTGAATCCCACTTCTGGGGCACCTCCTCTTCTGCTGCCTCTGTTGCTCTTGGACCATCATGGAACCCTCGCTGGGTCTGGAACCTGCTTAATCATAGAATCATAGAATATCAGGGTTGGAAGGGACCTCAGGAGGTCATCTAGTCCAACCCTCTGCTCAAAAGCAGGACCCATCCCCAATTAAATCATCCCAGCCAGGGCTTTGTCAAGCTTGACCTTAAAAACTTCTAAGGAAGGAGATTCCACCACCTCCCTAGGCAACACATTCCAGTGTTTCACCACCCTCCTAGTGAAAAAGTTTTTCCTAATATCCAACCTAAACCTCCCCCGCTGCAACTTGAGACCATTACTCCTTGTCCTGTCCTCTTCCACCACTGAGAATAGTCTAGAACCATCCTCTCTGGAACCACCTCTCAGGTAGTTGAAAGCAGCTATCAAATCCCCCCTCATTCTTCTCTTCCGTAGACTAAACATTCCCAGTTCCTTCAGCCTCTCCTCATAAGTCATGTGTTCCAGACCCCTAATCATTTTTGTTGCCCTTCGCTGGACTCTTTCCAATTTATCCACATCCTTCTTGTAGTGTGGGGCCCAAAACTGGACACAGTACTCCAGATGAGGCCTCACCAATGTCGAATAGAGGGGGATGATCACGTCCCTCGATCTGCTCGCTATGCCCCTACTTATACATCCCAAAATGCCATTGGCCTTCTTGGCAACAAGGGCACACTGCTGACTCATATCCAGCTTCTCGTCCACTGTCACCCCTAGGTCCTTTTCCGCAGAACTGCTGCCTAGCCATTCGGTCCCTAGTCTGTAGCAGTGCATTGGGTTCTTCCGTCCTAAGTGCAGGACCCTGCACTTATCCTTATTGAACCTCATCAGATTTCTTTTGGCCCAATCCTCCAATTTGTCTAGGTCCCTCTGTATCCTATCCCTGCCCTCCAGCGTATCTACCACTCCTCCCAGTTTAGTATCATCCGCAAATTTGCTGAGAGTGCAATCCACACCATCCTCCAGATCATTTATGAAGATATTGTACAAAACCGGCCCCAGGACCGACCCCTGGGGCACTCCACTTGACACCGGCTGCCAACTAGACAAGGAGCCATTGATCACTATCGCTTCTTGGACCAACCACCTCCGAGACCAAACCTCTGGGCTCCAGCACTCCTGCTTCACACTGTGAGCTCTGCGCAGCAAGTCCAGCTGAGACAGACTCCTGGGAGAGACATGGCCACCAGCAGAGACTAACACACTTCACCCAGTATTTGCAGTGACACAGTGTTTGTGTTTATTAGTCAGTTGGAACACAGCAGCGGGAGGCCGTAGGGTAGCACAGAGACAGGAAGGTTAAAGCATGGACCATTGTGGTCAGCTCAGAGCCCAGCTGATCTGTAGTGAAGCCCAGGTTCCAGCTCTGTCTGTCTCTCTCCGTCCCATCTCAGTCAGTTCCCAGATGAGAGCCCAGACACTTTCCAGCAGCCAGCTCCTATCCCCCCACTCACACCTTCCCAGGAACAGCGAGATATATGGGCTGTGGGGCCTGTGCTCCAGGAATATTCAGGGCCCAGGGGCCCAACTCGACTAACGTTCAGGGCCGGGCCTCTCCCCCGGCCTCACCTGCCACCCCTGTGTGCCTCCCCCGGAGCATCTCCCGGCCCCATCTGCCACCCCAGTGCGATTTAAAAGGGCTCGGGGGTCCCCGGCTGCTGCTGCCACCACCGGCAGCATAGTGGGGCGAAGGCGGCTTCCTGCCCGCCCTTGCTCTGCACCACTCCCGGAAGCAGCCCACATGTCCCTGCAGCCCAGGGTCGGGGGTGTTTCTTCACATTGTCCCCACCCCGAGCACCGACTCCACAGCTCCCTAGGAGCCACTGCCAAAGGGGTGTGTGGGTCGCTTTCGGGTAGACGCCACACCCATCACCCCCTCTTGCACCCTAACCCCCTGCCCCAGCCCAGAGCCTGCACCCAGCACCCAAACTCCCTCCCAGAGTCCGTACCCCTCCCGCACCCAAACTTCCTCCTAGAGCCTTAGGCAGGTATGGGGGGAGGCAGGATTTGAACCTATTCTGGGCACCAGCAAAAATTATACAAACCTGCTGCCCTTGCACTTCCCCATCGTTTGCTCTCTAGCTGGGGTCTTTGGTCCGTTTCCCTGCTGAGAGGTGGGGAATGCCATCTCCCTCTGGGTTGGTGGTTGCTAGGTTTCAGTGTCCTGGCAATTGGCTTTTCCTTTGTCATCTCAGGTTTTAGAATAGAATATCAGGGTTGGAAGGGACCTCAGGAGGTCATCTAGTCCAACCCCCTGCTCAAAACAGGACCAATCCCCAACTAAATCATCCCAGCCAGGGCTTTGTCAAGCCTGACCTTAAAAACTTCTAAGGAAGGAGATTCCACCACCTCCCTAGGCAACGCATTCCAGTGTTTCACCACCCTCCTTGTGAAAAAGTTTTTCCTAATATCCAACCTAAACCTTCCCCACTGCAACTTGAGACCATTACTCCTCGTTCTGTCATCTGCTACCACTGAGAAGAGTCTAGAGCCATCCTCTTTGGAACCCCCTTTCAGGTAGTTGAAAGCAGCTATCAAATCCCCCCTCATTCTTCTCTTCCGCAGGCTAAACAATCACAGTTCCCTCAGCCTCTCCTCATAAGTCATGTGTTCCAGTCCTCTAATCTTTTTTGTTGCCCTCTGCTGGAGTCTTTCCAATTTTTCCACATCCTTCTTGTAGTGTGGGGCCCAAAACTGGACACAGTACTCCAGATGAGGCCTCACCAGTGTCGAATAGAGGGGAACGATCACGTCCCTCGATCTGCTGGCAATGCCCCTACTTATACACCCTCCAAAATGCCATTGGCCTTCTTGGCAACAAGGGCACACTGCTGACTCATATCCAGCTTCTTGTCCACTGTAACCCTTAAGTCCTTTTCTGCAGAACTGCTGCTTAGCCAGTCGGTCCCCAGCCTGTAGCAGTGCATGGGATTCTTCTGTCCTAAATGCAGGACTCTGCACTTGTCCTTGCTGAACCTCATCAGATTTCTTTTGGCCCAATCCTCCAATTTGTCTTGGTCACTCTGGACCCTATCCCTATCCTCCAGCAGATCTACCTCTCCCCACAATAATGTAAGGGTGTGATGGAACCAGCTGGGAGGGTCTCCGAGACGCCCACCTCTTTGGGTATTTGAAAACTCACACTAAGGACTGGCCTGAAAAAAGAAATGGAACCAAACCACTGACTTCGCTTTCACACCAACTGAGCTGCCCTGTGTGGACATTCTACAGGCATGTCTGCACAACAGACTTAAGTCAACTTATGTTAGGTCGACTTATAGCCACTGCAGCCCAGCTAGCAGTGGGGAGCCAGGGGCAACCAGGCTTTAGTTGCTTGGCTTTCTTGTCAATTTCACGGCTACAACATGGAGTGCATGGCCCTGCTCCAGTTGCCAGAGGTGGCAGCCTGGCCTCAGAGTGATCTGTCTGCCCCCCAGGAACTGAGCTGGGCTGACTATGGCCCATGTAACGACCAGTGTTCCCCACTTATCACAGCCTACAGCTCACCTTGACACAACTGGTGGTGTTTCCCCAGTACCAGCCTGTGACATTCCCCAGGGTACAGTCTGGACTGTGAACAGCTGTGTCCCCTCAGTTCTCCAACCTGGGGAGCCTTTTACATGGCTTCGCTGTGAGAGCAACCACTCCTGGCCTGCCCACACCCAGCCTCCCGCATATAAGTTACTCCCATGTACAGTACATGAGTGCTGCAGCCTAGGCTTGCCAACAGTCCGTTATTACAAGGGATGTCCCTTATTTTTCATCTCAAGATCGGGAGCTGCTGAGTGTTGCAAACAGCAGCAAGAAATTCCCCAGCAAATGTAGGTGAGTGCTGCTTAGTATTACTATCATTATTATGTCCCTTATTTTTTAAATATAGTGTTGGTGACCCTCCTGCAGCCAGCCACTCTTGAATTACACTGCAGAGTGACACTGGCAAACTCCCAGGCCCAGACTTTCCCCAGAAATGTGCATCTTGCATTAAACCCTCTCCTGGACAATACAAACCCATAGAAAGTCCACCGTTTTATTAATAGAAAACGATATGCACAAATCCTGTTATCCTAAATGGAGTTTCCCAAACACTTCAATGCAAGCACCCTGGTTTAGATAAAACAATAAAACAAATGTATCAATTATAAAAGATAGATTTGAAGGGACTACAAGTAATAAGGTATTAAAGACAGAAATGGTTACAAGAAAAGGTAAAACACAACTAATGCCTAACTTAACAAGGTAAGTGAATTCAAAGCAAAGGTCTTTCTCACCACATGTTCCAGCAGTCTTATCAGCTGAACTTCTTTCCATCAGGATCCCTCCTCTACTCCAGTGCTGCTTCCTTTGTTCGTCAGGTGTTGTGGACTCCATGGATAGAGAGAAAGGGACAGATCATTTGGGGCATTTGCTCTCCCTGCTTATAGTTCTCTCTCTTCTTTGAGAAGCATCTCCAGCTGAGGTTCAGGAGACAGAAAGTCTGTGTGGACAGGAACCCCAAGCTGCTTCTTTGTCAAGATGTAGATTTTTCGCCCACACCCTCTTTCCTGCCAAAGGATGGCCACTAACCAGGTGAAGGTCCATTTGATTTTGTTGACACCTGACCGAGGCATTAGCTTGCCTTTGTCTCTGGAGAACTGGTTTGTGACTTCTCCCCAAACTTGAAACATATCTTAGTAATACCATACAGGAGAATCTTATAACTTTACATGCAATATTGCCACACCTATTTTACCAGGACAAAAATGGTCAGCAAATTATGAGTTTTCAGATGATACCTCACAAGGCATCCTTTGTACAAAATGTATCATAGTCCTGGGGTGAACATAGGGTTCCAGACTGTCATACAGACTCCTTCTGCGAATACCCAACACAGCTGCCAACACCCTCCCAGTGCCCACGGAGCCACCTGCTCCCTTCCCCAGTGCTGCCACCTCTTTCATTACATCACATTTGGGTGGGAATTTCCCATCTCCCCAGGATTTTGCAGGGCAGTTTTCTGCCCAGCCATTCCAGGTTCACAAAGGAGAAGCCAGCACTCTGCTGAACTCCAGCCTCCATCAATCTACACAGCTGAGCATTAGTGGCTGGCGTTATTCTGCTGGCATTGCTGTATGTGCTCCACTGCTTGGTAAGAATCTGAATAACTGCTTGGTCAGTGCTGACTAGCATAGTCCGGCAACAGCAGGAGGAGCCACCAGCGCCAGGGCTGTGAGCCTGCCCTGAACTGCCAGGACTCTGAGCATTATAGGGTCGGCTCAGCCACACTTCCTGGGTGTCCATTTGTGCCACAAGACTTACCCAGCAGCCTTCAGGGCAAGGTGACAGAAGCCTGATGCTTTGGCTCAAGAGATGGCTTGGGGCTGTCTCCTTAGCTGTGCTTAGCAATCAGCACTATGCCCGGAGCGCACATGGACACAGCTCAGAGAAGGAGCCTGCCCAGCTGGGGAGCAGACAGCTCTCCCTTCCCACTCTGTCCATCCCCTCATCACAACGCTGCTCTGCACACGGCAGCTAGGCCTGTGTCTGAGCAGGCAGGGCTAGTTAACCAGATGCTGGGGCTGCAGAGGGATGTCACAATCGGGGACCAGGGTCAGCGGAACTGAGGTCTGTCCCTAGAGATGGACGTCTCTGGTCTCTGTCAGACCCAGGACACTATCCCGGACACAGGAATCCCTGGGGGAGCATCTGATTCCAGCCTGTGCGATGCAGGAGCTCAGACGGGATGGTCAGAACGGCCTTTCTGGCCTTGAAATCTACACAGCTAGGAAAATTAGATAGAAAATGCCTTTTAGTTCACATCTGGGGCCGATGCAGGATTGTTCCCTATGGCCAGGGCCTGTATGTGGCAGCTGAGCTGAACTCCTTGGAGCAAGCCCTGTGGGCTCTGGTGTGATGGGCCAGCAAGACCCCTGTTTTCTGAGAGGCGGGCAAAGCCCCAGGAGTCCGCGGGCTCGAGCGTGGCAGGTGGGCAAAGCCCCGGGAGTCTGCGGGCTCAGGTGTGGCAGGTGGGCAAAGCCCCGGGAGTCCGCAGGCTCGGGCGTGGCAGGCGGGCAAAGCCCCGGGACTCTGCGGGCTTGGGCGTGGCAGGCGGGCAAAGCCCTGGGACTTGGTGAGCTCAGGCAGGCCAGGCCCTGTGCCTCTGCAGACACCAGCCTGAGGGGCTGGATATTCTCTGGCAGATTTGTTGAATTTAATCAATTGAATATGGAATGACTAATCCAGCAGGCGCCATCACCTGGGAATTCATTTGGAGCCTGATGGTGTTGGACACTTGTCTCCCAGAGCATCCTTGCGCTGCCTTTGAAATCCCCAGCATAGGCATTGGGCCAGATCCTGAGCTGGGGAATTTCCATGTAGCTCCATCAGCTTTGCTATTAAGGGCTGCAGAGGCCGGGGATATGGGGCCCTGCCTACAGGACATTGCCAGGTAGCATGATAACAAACTGGTGAGCATGTGTTACAGACCCCTCTGGGCCCAATCCACAGAGGGTATGAGTTGTTATGGGCCCTGTCTAGGGAATCTTGACTCTTTAGCTTAAGCTATAGCAGTTTATGTCTTGACTCTGGAGGTCCCCCGTTCAGCCCCTGGGGTGTTGGCTGAGTTGGCTGCCATCACACTATATCCAGTCCAGGTCTAAATGTACCAAGCAATGGGATGTCCGCATTTGGGGTACCAAGGGGGCGAAGGAGATGGTGGCTGTGGATGGGTTGGGGGAGGTGTCCTGTGTGCTGAGCACTGGCTGGCTCCCTCTCGGATGATGCTGTGCTTTGAGGGCAGGTGTTGCCATGTCCCTGCACAGGGACTCAGCCCCTATGACCAGGCTGGCTGATGATACCTGTAGAACCTATCCTTCCTCCTCTCCTGTGCTGGTTGGGCAGGGTCCTGGGGAGGTGGCTTGGGGCAGCCTTTCCCTGTGGTTCTGAGCAAGGGCACCAAGGAAAAGGAGGCTGCAATGGGATGGATTTAGGTTGGCGAAGTAGATACCTTTGCTGTCAGGGCTTCCCTGAGCAATGTATGTCCATGCTGAGTTCCCAACAGCAGTAGCAGACCCGGAGCTCAGCAGTGGCATGGCGTCTGCCCTGGCTGGAGCAGTCAGGGATAGAGCTGACCAAATAATGGATTTTTGATTCAGGGCCAAACCCCTAAATCTGAAAAAATCCAGTTCAATTCGAACCAAAACCAATTTCATTTTTATATTCAGAAAAACTTAGAAAAGCAGTTTGTTTTGAATGGACTGAAACGTTTCTGGTAAACGCAAAACTTTTTTTTTTAGTTTTTCGTTTTGATTCTGCCATTTTCAGGTGTTTTGCACCCTTTTTTGCCAAATATGAAACTGAAATGCTGTTTCAAAATTAAAAGTTGAAATAAAATGCTTTGACTTTTTTTAAACATATTTTCAGATTTTTTCAGCAAAACTATTAAATAAATTTGATCCAAATTCATGAATATTTTTGGAGCCCTGAGAAATGCATTTTTTTCAGCAAAATTTCTATTTGCCAAAAAATTCACCTCACCTTAGTCTGGAGGGTGTTAAACTAATAAAAGGGGAGAAAAAATAGACTTTTGTTAGCACAAAATCGAGATGCTGAGAACAAAATTAACCAAGAAACAAAATAAATTCTTGAATTGCCTAGACACTAATGCAAGGAGCCTGGGTAACAAACGAGGAAATGGAATTGCTCTTTTAAGCCCATAAATTTGATCTAGTTGGTATTACGGAAACCTAGAGGGCTGATTTGCATGATTGGAATATTAAATTCACTGGTTACAACCTATTTAGGAAAGCTCATGTGGGCAAAAGGGGAGCGGGAGTGGCACTCTGTCAAAAATGGCATTGCCTGTCTCCAAGCCACTGGCAATTCAGAAGAAAATGACGTTGAATGCTTAGGGATCAATGTCCTAACAGATAAAGCACAAGATGGGGTACTGACCCACAAATCACACTAGGGAACAGGATGCATAGGCTGCTGAGGACCATTGCACCAGCCAGAGTGACCAACCATTGATAAAAGAAAAGGAGTACTTGTGGCACCTTACAGACCAACAAATGTATTTGAGCATAAGCTTTTGTGAGCTACAGCTCACTTCACGAAAGCTTATGCTCAAATAAATTTGTTAGTCTCTAAGGGTATGTCTACGCTACGAAATTAGGTCGAATTCATATAAGTCGTTTTTTTAGAAATCGGTTTTATATATTTGAGTGTGTGTGTCCCCACAGAAAATGCTCTAAGTGCATTAACTCGGCGGAGTGCTTCCACAGTACCGAGGCAAGCGTCGACTTCCGGAGCGTTGCACTGTGGGTAGCTATCCCACAGTTCCCGCAGTCTCCGCTGCCCATTGGAATTCTGGGTTGAGATCCCAATGCCTGATGGAGCTAAAACATTGTCGTGGGTGGTTCTGGGTACATATCGTCAGATACCTGTTCCCTCCCTCCCTCTGTGAAAGCAAGGGCAGACAATCGTTTCACGCCTTTTTTCCTGAGTTACCTGTGCAGACGCCATACCACGGCAAGTGTGGAACCCGCTCAGCTCACTGTCACCGTATGTCTCCTGGGTGCTGGCAGACGTGCTACTGCATTGCTACACAGCAGCAGCAACCCATTGCCTTGTGGCAGCAGACGGTGCAATAGGACTGGTAGCCGTCATTGTCATGTCCGAGTTGCTCCTGGTTGCCTGTGTGAGGTCGATCAGGAGCGCCTGGGCAGACATGGGCGCAGGGACTAAAATTTGGAGTGACTTGATCAGGTCATTCTCTTTAGTCCTGCAGTCAGTCCTATTGAACCATCTTATGGTGAGCAGGCAGGTTATATGGATTGCTAGCCGTCCTATTGCATCATCTTCTGCCGGGCAGGCAAGAGATGAGGATGGCTAGCAGTCCTATTGTACCATCTTCTGCCGAGCAGCCATGAGATGTGGATGGCATGCAGTCCTTCTGCACCATCTGCTGCCAGCCAAAGATGTAAAAGATAGATGGAGTGGATCAAAACAAGAAATAGACCAGATTTGTTTTGTACTCATTTGCAAACCCCCCCCTCCCGCCCCCCATCTAAGGCAGTCATTCCTCTAGGTCATTCTGCAGTCACTCACAGAGAAGGTGCAGCGAGGTAAATCTAGCCATGTATCAATCAGAGGCCAGACTAACCTCCTTGTTCCAATAAGAACAATAACTTAGGTGCACCATTTCTTATTGGAACCCTCCGTGAAGTCCTGCCTGAAATACACCTTGATGTAAAGCCAACCCCTTTGTTGATTTTAACTCCCTGTAAGCCAACCCTGTAAGCCGTGTCATCAGTCTCCCCTCCCTGCGTCAGAGCAACGGCAGACAATCGTGCATCTGAGTTGAGAGTGCTGTCCAGAGCAGTCACAATGGAGCACTCTGGGATAGCTCCTGGAGGCCAATACCGTCGAATTGTGTCCACAGTACCCCAAATTCGGCCCGGCAAGGCCGATTTAAGCGCTAATCCACTTGTCAGGGGTGGAGTAAGGAAATCGATTTTAAGAGCCCTTTAAGTCAAAATAAAGGGCTTCATCGTGTGGACGGGTGCAGGTTTACATCGATTTAACGCTGCTAAATTCGACCTAAAGTCCTAGTGTAGACCAGGGATAAGGTGCCACAAGTACTTCTGTTCTTTTTGCAGATACAGACTAACACGGCTGCTACTCTGAAACCAACCATTGATGGCGTCACACCAGGTATCATGTAGTGAAGATCCCAGATCTGGCTCAATCCTGAGAATCCATGAATCTCTAGGACAATTCTGCAGGCAGCACCAGGCAGTGTGCACCTCTTTGTGCATCAATGGAGAGTTTCAGAGCACAGTGTGCTGGAGGAGATGTGCAGGTTCCTTAAGTGCCTGTCTATAATATATAGGAAAAAGGCTGTGTGATCATGCGGGACTTCAGTTTGAGTGACATAAGCTGGAGGTCTCATGCTGCTGCTGCTAAAACATCCTTGGAATTTCTAAATATTATAGATGACAATTTCCCAACTCAGAAAGCGTTGCATCCAACTTGGGGGAATTCTTTATTAGACCTCATCTTGACAGATGAAGAAAAACTGATCATAGAATCATAGAATATCAAGGCTGGAAGGGACCTCAGGAGGTCATCTAGTGTAACCCCCTGCTCAAAGCAGGACCAATCCCCAACTAAATCATCCCAGCCTGGGCTTTGTCAAGCTTGACCTTAAAAATATCTAAGGAAGGAGATCCCACCACTTCCCTAGGTAACGCATTCCAGTGTTTCACCACCCTCCTAGTGAAAAAGTTTTTCCTAATATCCAACCTAAACCTCCCCCACTGCAACTTGAGACCATTACTCCTCATTCTGTCATCTGCTACCACTGAGAAGAGTCTAGAGCCATCCTCTTTGGAACCCCCTTTCAGGTAGTTGAAAGCAGCTATCAAATCCCCCCTCATTCTTCTCTTCCGCAGACTAAACAATCCCAGTTCCCTCAGCCTCTCCTCATAACTCATGTGTTCCAGTCCCCTAATCATTTTTGTTGCCCTCCGCTGGACTCTTTCCAATTTTTCCACATACTTCTTGTAGTGTGGGGCCCAAAACTGGACACAGTACTCCAGATGAGGCCTCACCAATGTCGAATAGAGGGGAACGATCACGTCCCTCGATCTGCTGGCAATGCCCCTACGTATACATCCCAAAATGCCATTGGCCTTCTTGGCAACAAGGGCACACTGTTGACTCATATCCAGCTTCTTGTCCACTGTGACCCCTAGGTCCTTTTCTGCAGAATTGCTGCGGAGCCATTCGGTTCCTAGTCTGTAGCGGTGCATTGGATTCTTCCGTCCTAAGTGCAGGACTCTGCACTTGTCCATGTTGAACCTCATCAGATTTCTTTTCGCCCAATCCTCTAATTTGTCTAGGGCCCTCTGTATCCTATCCCTACCCTCCAGCGTATCTACCTCTCCTCCCAGTTTAGTGTCATCTGCAAACTTGCTGAGGGTGCAATCCACACCATCCTCCAGATCATTAATGAAGATATTGAACAAAACCGGCCCGAGGACCAACCCTTGGAGCACTCCACTTGATACCGGCTGCCAACTGGACATAGAGCCATTGATCACTACTCGTTGAGCCTGACAATCTAGCCAACTTTCTATCCTCCTTACAGTCCATTCATCCAGCCCATACTTCTTTAACTTGCTGGCAAGAATACTGTGGGAGACCGTGTCAAAAGCTTTGCTAAAGTCAAGGAACAACAGGTCCACCGCTTTCCCCTCATCCACAGAGCCAGTTATCTTGTCATAGAAGGCAATTAGATTAGTCAGGCATGACTTGCCCTTGGTGAATCCATGCTGACTGTTCCTGATCACTTTCCTCTCCTCTAAGTGCTTCAGAATTGATTCCTTGAGGACCTGCTCCATGATTTTGCCAGGGACTGAGGTGAGGCTGACTGCCCTGTAGTTCCCAGGATCCTCCTTCTTCCCTTTTTTAAAGATGGGCACTACATTACACTGATCACAGAACTAAAAATTGGTAGTAGCTTAGGTTTAAGGGATCATGGTTTGACTGTTATGTGCAAACAGAATAAGTTCAGACCAGGGATATATATATATTCTTGGTGCTTTAAAGGGCCAGTTTCACAAAACTGGAAACAATTATGAGCCAAATCAATTGGGAGAAAGAATTTAAACTGAAAAATGTGAATGATAAGTGGGAACTTTTGAAGATTTGAACTAGATGCTCAAAAAGACACAATCCCCGAACTGAGAAAGAAGCCCACACTCATTTTAAAAAAAAAAACTGGCTTGGAAGATAAGTAGGAAGGCAATAAAATTAATTAATTACAATTAAAATAAAACAATATATAACAAAAAGAAAAAAGGGGAAGTTAATAATAATGAATATAAATCAGAAGCTAGAAATTGTAGAAAATTAATAAGGGGAGTAAAAGGACAGCAGGAGCCCTCTATGGTCAGAAAGGGTTTTTAAGTATATTAAGAACAAAAAGAATTCTAACTATGGTATTGGTCCATTACTAAATGGAAATGGTAGAATTATCAATAATGCAGAAAAGATGGAAGTGTTCAATAAATATTTCTGTTCCATATTTGGGAACAAAAAATAGGTGGTGCAGATATATCATAGATCAATGAAACCCATTCCATTCCAACAGTAACTCAGGACAATGTTAAACAGTAGCTTTTAAAGCTAAACATTTTAAAATCATAGAATAGAATATCATAGAATATCAGGGTTGGAAGGGATCTCAGGAGATCCAGATAACCTGTGCCCAAGAGTTTTAAAAGAGCTGACTGAGGAGCTCACAGGACCATTAATGTTGATTTTCAATAACTCTTAAAACAGTCAGGAAGTTCCAGAAGACTGGAAGAAAGCTAATGTGCCAATATTTTAAAAGGGTAAATGGGATCAACCTAGTTAATTATAGGCCTCTCAGCCAGATGTCAATCCCAAGCAAAATAATGGAATGGTTTACACAGGACTTAATTAATAAAATAATAAAACTATGGAATGGTTTACACATTCCATAAAATAATAAAATTATGGAATGGTTCCACATTCCATAAAATAATAAACACATTCCATAAAATAATAAAATTATGGAATGGTTTACAAAATAACGGAATGGTTTACACAGTACTTAATTAATAAAATAAATAAAATAATAAATTAAAAATAATTAATGCACATTAACATGGGATAATGGAAAATTGATTCTGTCAAACTAACTTGATATCTATTTTTGATGAGATTTTATATTTGATTATAAAAGTAGTAATAGCATTAATGTAAAACACTTACTCTTCCGTAAAGCATTCTGCACAATATTTTGATTAAAAACTAGACTGATGCAAAATTAACACAGCATACATTAAATGGATTAAAACCTGGCTAAATGACAGTTCTAAAAATGTAACTGTAAACAGGGAATCATCATCTAGCAGCTGTGTTTCCATTGGGTTTCTGTTGGGATCAGTTCTTACCCATACATGATTTATCATCAATGACCTGGAAGAAAACATAAAGTCATCACTGATAACGTCTGCAGATGAAAGAAAGATTGGGGGCATAGTAAGCAATGAAGAGGACAGGTCACTGATTGTAAATGAGTGGCATCCTCCTTGGCGCCCCCTCATGGCCATAGGGAGCCCTACATGTGGACTCTCGCCTCAGTTTCCCTCTTTAGCAACCCAAAGGACTCCACTTCAGACTCTTACTTACAATACCCCACCTGGGGGGCAGTTTATTACAAAAACCCTGTGCAAATAGTCTATAACAAAAGTCCCAAAACATAGTCCATATAACCCCAGTGCATAGTCCTTGTTCTCACTGTACCCCACGTCTTCCATCACACCTAGGCTTCTCATCCATCCTCTTTCAGCCCTCTGCCAGATCAGCCAGCCCAACCCTTCTGTCTGGGGTGCAAGCAAACAATATGTGCTTTAAGATGGCAAAATGTAAATGCATCCATCTAGGACTGAAGAATGTCAGCCATGCTTACAGAATGGGAGGGGGGGCTCAATCCTGGGAAGCAGTGACTCTGAAAAGGATTTGGAGGTGCTAGTGAATAATCAGCCGAACACGAGCTCCCAGTGTGATACTGTGGCCAAAAGGGCTTGTGACAGGTTGGATCACAGAAACCCCCTGGGAGCTGCCATCTGATATGCCAAGACTACTTCTGCTCCTGCTTTCCTGCCCTGTCAGCTTAGGACTTCAGTGCCCTGCCTGGTTTGAGCCAGACCCGCTAGCCTGCTTCAAACCCAGACCCAGGGTCTGAACCACGTGCCCTAACAGCTGTAGGCTTAACTGAAAGCACCTTACAGAAGTGTTCCTGTCTTTAACACTCAGATACCCAACTCCCAATGGGGTCCAAACCCTAAATAAATCTGTTTTACCCTGTATAAAGCTTATAAATTGTTCACCCTCTATAACACTGATAGAGAGGTATGCACAGCTCTCCCCCCCCCCCCCAGGTATTAATGCATACTCTGGGTTAATTAATAAGTAAGAAGTGATTTTATTAAATACAGAAAGTAGGATGTAAGTGGTTCCAAGTAGTAACAGACAGAACAAAGTGAATTACCAAGCAAAATCAAATAAAACATGCAAGTCTAAGTCTAGTACAGTAATAAAAACTGAATACAGATAAAAATCTCACCCTTAGAGATGTTTCAATAAGTTTCTTTTACAGACCGGACACCCTCCTAGTCTGGGCAGAATCCTTCCCCCTGGTACAGCCCTTGTTCCAGCTCAGGTGGTAGCTAGGGGATTTCTCATGATGGCTGCCTCCTTTGTTCTGTTCCACCCACTTATATATCTTTTGCATAAGGTGGGAATCCTTTGTCACTCTGGGTTCCCACCCCTCCTTCTCAGGTTAAAGATGGATTCCAGTTCAGGTGACATGATCACGTCACTCTAAGACTTCATTACTCATTTGCCAGCTCACAGGTATACAGGAAGACTTACAAGTAAAACAGAGCCATCTACAGTCAATTGTCCTGGCAAATGGGAGCCATTAAGCTTCCAAACCACCATTAATGGCCCACACTTTGCATAACTATAATAGGACCTCTTAGTTATATTTCATATTTCTAGTTTCAGATACAAGAGTGATACATTTATACAAATAGGATGACCACACTCAGTAGATTATAAACTTTGTAATGATACCTGACAAGAGACCTTTTGCATGAAGCATATTTTAGTTATATTATATTCACATTCATCAGCATACTTTCATAAAATCATACAGAGTGCAACGTCACAGGGCTAATGCGACTCTTGGCTGCGTAAGCAGGGGAATATCGAATGGGAGCAGAGAGGTTATTTTACATCTATATTTGGCGCCTGTGCGACTGCTGCTGGAACACCGTGGCCAGTTCTGGTGTCCACAATACAAGAGGGATGTTGATAAACTGGAGAAGGTTCTTTGGGGCGGCAATGAGAATGGGCAGCAGTCCGTGTTCCGCAGCGGCAATTCAGCTGCAGCTCGGCCACTGTTGCGGCGGTGGCAATTCGGTGGCTGCTACTCGGGGCAGCAAAATAGGTAGGGCTGACTCTGGCTAGGCGAATGAATAAGGGGTTGGAAAACCTGCCTGCTAGTGACAGACTCCAGACACTGAGTCTCTTTAGCGTAACTGAGAGAAGGCTAAGGCGACTTAACCATCGTTTTTAAGAACCACTGTGGGTCACGGTGGATTCTCCATCACTGAACATCAAGACTGGACGTTTTACTAAACACTACGCTCCAGTTCAAATGGGAATTAACTCCGGGAAGCCCTGCGGCCTTTGCTGTACAGGGGCTCAGATCAGCTGATCACACCAGTCCCTTCTGGCCTTATAACCATATCTGCACCAGCGGGGCCCACCTAGCAGCCACCGATCTCCAAGCACCTTGCAAGCAGTAGAGAGTGCGGCTTGCGCGGGTGCCGGCCTCCTCCCACCCATTTCCTGGAGCAGCGGGGCTGTGGGCCGAAGGGACCCGGGAGTGCAGCAGCGAGGCTGGGCGGGGAGGCCAGCAGGGGGCGCTGCAGGGCAGGTTTGCAGCGATTTGCGCAACGGGGTGCGGGGGCCGTGCGGGGCTCAGCAGCGGCTTCTGGGGGGTGGGGGTAGTGCCATGCTCCAGCGGCACTGCCAGCCCCGCGCGGCCCAGCAGCGACCCCGCCCAGGAGAGCGACAGCCCGGCGCGGCGCTGCTCCTCCTGCCTGCCGGCCTGCGCTGCAATACGCTGGCTCCAGCCAGGCAGGGAGGCGGGGCTGGGATCGTCAGCGCAAAGGAGAGGGGCCAGGCTCAGCCCCCCCGCCTTGATTCTAGTGCCCTGGTTAGCTCCCCTCCCCCTCCCCCCCCCTCTGGCAGCTGGGTGAGAATCTTCCCCCCCGCCCCCGCTGGGTGATTCCCTCCCCCCTGAGAGAGCTGGGTTAGACCCTCCCCCTTCTGACAGCTGGTTCCTTTTCAGACCCCGCTTTATTTAAAGCTCCCAGGGAGAAAGCAGCCTTTGGCCGGGCTTTGCAATGTATGCCTGGCTCTTACCTGCCCCTGACAGTGCGATAGCCGCTGGGTGTCCTACCCCACCACTGTATGTCACCCCTTTGGGTGGTTCCCAGCAGGGTGGGAGGTTTGAAGGGGGTGGAGGCGGGGTGTTGGAGAGGCCAGAAGCTGGGGAAGTGGGTTGTGGAGGGGTAGGCTGGGGTGGGGGGTCAGAGAGGGGTAGACTGAGGTGGGGGGGGAGTTGGGGAGGTAGGCTGGGGATCAGAAAGGAGCAGGGGGTCAGAGATGGGTAGGCTGGGGCAGGGGGTCATGGAGGGGTAGGTTGGGGTGGGGGGGTGGAGAGCAATAGGCTGGGGAGGTGGGTCATAGAATCATAGAATATAAGGGTTGGAAGGGACCCCAGAAGGTCATCTAGTCCAACCCCCTGCTCGAAGCAGGACCAATTCCCAGTTAAATCATCCCAGCCAGGGCTTTGTCAAGCCTGACCTTAAAAACCTCTAAGGAAGGAGATTCTACCACCTCCCTAGGTAACGCATTCCAGTGTTTCACCACCCTCTTAGTGAAAAAGTTTTTCCTAATATCCAATCTAAACCTCCCCCACTGCAGCTTGAGACCATTACTCCTCGTTCTGTCATCTGCTACCATTGAGAACAGTCTAGAGCCATCCTCTTTGGAACCCCCTTTCAGGTAGTTGAAAGCAGCTATCAAATCCCCCCTCATTCTTCTCTTCTGCAGGCTAAACAATCCCAGCTCCCTCAGCCTCTCCTCATAACTCATGTGTTCCAGACCCCTAATCATTTTTGTTGCCCTTCGCTGGACTCTCTCCAATTTATCCACATCCTTCTTGAAGTGTGGGGCCCAAAACTGGACACAGTACTCCAGATGAGGCCTCACCAATGTCGAATAGAGGGGAACGATCACATCCCTCGATCTGCTCGCTATGCCCCTACTTATACATCCCAAAATGCCATTGGCCTTCTTGGCAACAAGGGCACACTGCTGACTCATATCCAGCTTCTCGTCCACTGTCACTCCTAAGTCCTTTTCCGCAGAACTGCTGCCTAGCCATTCGGTCCCTAGTCTGTAGCTGTGCATTGGGTTCTTCCGTCCTAAGTGCAGGACCCTGCACTTATCCTTATTGAACCTCATCAGATTTCTTTTGGCCCAATCCTCCAATTTGTCTAGGTCCTTCTGTATCCTATCCCTCCCCTCCAGCGTATCTACCACTCCTCCCAGTTTAGTATCATCCGCAAATTTGCTGAGAGTGCAATCCACACCATCCTCCAGATCATTTATGAAGATATTGAACAAAACCGGCCCCAGGACCGACCCTTGGGGCACTCCACTTGATACCGGCTGCCAACTAGACATGGAGCCATTGATAACTACCCGTTGAACCCGACAATCTAGCCAGCTTTCTACCCACCTTGTAGTGCATTCATCCAGCTCATACTTCCTTAACTTGCTGACAAGAATACTGTGGGAGACCGTGTCAAAAGCTTTGCTAAAGTCAAGAAACAATACATCCACTGCTTTCCCTTCATCCACAGAACCAGTAATCTCATCATAGAAGGCGATTAGATTAGTCAGGCATGACCTTCCCTTGGTGAATCCATGCTGGCTGTTCCTGATCACTTTCCTCTCATGCAAGTGCTTCAGGATTGATTCTTTGAGGACCTGCTCCATGATTTTTCCAGGGACTGAAGTGAGGCTGACTGGCCTGTAGTTCCCAGGATCCTCCTTCTTCCCTTTTTTAAAGATTGGCACTACATTAGCCTTTTTCCAGTCATCCGGGACTTCCCCGGTTCGCCACAAGTTTTCAAAGATAATGGCCAATGGCTCTGCAATCACAGCCGCCAGTTCCTTCAGCACTCTCGGATGCAACTCGTCCGGCCCCATGGACTTGTGCACGTCCAGCTTTTCTAAATAGTCCCTAACCACCTCTATCTCCACAGAGGGCTGTCCATCTCTTCCCCATTTTGTGATGCCCAGCGTAGCAGTCTGGGAGCTGACCTTGTTAGTGAAAACAGAGGCAAAAAAAGCATTGAGTACATTAGCTTTTTCCACATCCTCTGTCACTAGTTTGCCTCCCTCATTCAGTAAGGGGCCCACACATTCCTTGGCTTTCTTCTTGTTGCCAACATACCTGAAGAAACCCTTCTTGTTACTCTTGACATCTCTGGCTAGCTGCAGCTCCATAGAGGGGTGGACTGGGGCAGGGGGTTGGAGATGAGTTGGCAGGGATCAGAGAGGGGTAGGCTCAGGTGGGAGGTCGTGGAGGGGTAGGCTGGGGGTTGGAGAGGGGTAGGCTGGGGGGATAGACTGGGGTGAGGGGTCGGAGAGGGATAAGTTGGGGCAGGATGGTTGGAGATGGGTAAATTGGGGTGGGGAGTCACAGAGGGGTAGGTTGGGCGGGGGGTTTGAAAGGGGTAGACTGGAGCAGGAGTCCTATCTGGCTTCAAGATTAAGCTTGATAAGTTTATAGAGGAGATGGTATGATGGGATAACATGATTTTGGCAATTAATTGATCTTTGACTATTAGTGGTAAATAGGCCCAATGGCCTGTGATGGGATGTTAGATGGGGTGGGATCGGAGTTACTACAGGGAATTCTTTCCTGGGTATCTGGCTGGTGGGTCTTGCCCACATGCTCAGGGATCAGCTGATCGCCATATTTGGGGTCAGGAAGGAATTTTCCTCCAGGGCAGATTGGCAGAGGCAGATTGGGGATTTTTCACCTTCCCCTGCAGCGTGGGTCATGGGTCACTTGCTGGAAGATTCTCTGCACCTTGAAGTCTTTAAACCATGATTTGAGGACTTCAATAGCTCAGACATAGGTGGGACGTTTATTGCAGGAGTGGGTGGGTGAGATTCGGTGGCCTGCATTGTGCAGGAGGTCAGACTAGATGATCATAATGGTCCCTTCTGACCTTAAAGTCTATGAGTCTATGAGGAGGTCGGAGAGGAATAGGCTCAGGCTGGGGGTCATGGAAGGGTAGACTGATGTAGGGGGGTTGGAGAGGGGTAGGCTGGGGTTGGAGAGGGGTAGGCTCGGGCTGGGGGGTTGGAGAGGGGTGGGCTGGGGCAGGGGTCAGAAAGGCATAGATTGGTGCGGAGGGTCAGAGAGGGGTAGGCTGGGGGTTGGAGAGGGGTAGGCTGGGGGGATAGGCTGGGGTGGGGGGTTGGAGAGGGGTAGGTTGAGTTTGGGGGTTTGGGGAGAAGTAGGTTGGGACAGGAGGGTTGGAGATGTGTAGACTGGGGCAGGGAATCATAGAATCATAGAATATCAGGGTTGGAAGGGACCTCAGGAGGTCATCCAGTCCAACCCCCTCCTCAAAGCAGGACCAATCCCCAATTAAATCATCCCAGCCAGGGCTTTGTCAAGCCTGACCTTAAAAACTTCTAAGGAAGGAGATTCTACCACCTCCCTAGGTAACGCATTCCAGTGTTTCACCACCCTCCTTGTGAAAAAGTTTTTCCTAATATCCAACCTAAATCTCCCCCACTGCAACTTGAGACCATTACTCCTTGTCCTGTCCTCTTCTACCACTGAGAATAGTCTAGAACCATCCTCTCTGGAACCACCTCTCAGGGAATTGTAGAGGGGTAAGTTGCGGGGGTCCGAGAGGGCTCAGCTGGGGTTGGGGGAGGCCGGGGCGGAGGGGGGTAGACACTAGTTTATCAAAACTCCAGAGCAAACTCTGCCACTCCCACAGCTCCCCACTCACCTGCTGACACCTACCAGCCGGCAGGGCCGTGACCCCTAACTGCTCAGGGTGCCAGCCCAGCATCTCCCCTGCGGATGAGTCACTCCCACCCCCATCCCAGCAAGCCCCAGGCCTGCAGCACCCTGCCCAGCGATGCCACTCACAGCCCTGCACTGCAGGGACGTGTGCCCAGCTAAGGCCAACTCTCACCAGTTAGCGCCAGGGACACCAGTGAGAGCTGGGAACAGGGAGCCACAGAGCACAGGCCAAACCTCGAGAGGAGCCACTGCGACGCAGGGGGCAGAGGAGACAGGTCAAGACACCCGAGGCAGTGCAAGACAGAGCTAGGTCCCCTCTCAGCACTGCAGCAAGGGGAGTTGGGGGGAGGGGCAGAAATGGTCTCACCCCACGGAGCAGCCCCCGCCCCACAAAGCCCACCCTGGGACATCTCGCCCCCTCCCCTGCATGCTGCAGGGGCCGGCCCCATTGTTCGCTGGGACACTGTGGAGCATCTTCGGCCAGGGAGCTGCTATGGAACTGAGCTGCATGTAGCTGTGCGTTTGCACATGTATGTGAAGGGCTCTGTGTGCATCTCCCTGTGCATGCACTTACATACGCTCTTGTGAAACACACTTGTAAAGTGCTCAATCTCGGGTGGCTGAACGCCACTTGTCCCACACTTGTAAAGTGTGAGTCCTCCTCCTCTAGTGATTAGCCTGCATGGAGAACAGGCTAGTCACACCTGCACTCCCAGTGGGCGAGGCTGGTGCTGTGGTGCTGAAGTCCCAGACTTAAACCTGGCAGATAACCTGGGTGGGCTCATTACATGTCTGCTCACATGTCTCTCCATGTACATGTGCATGTGTGTGTGCTGGTGTCCCAGCTTGTGCACGGGTGCATCTGTGATTGTGTGCAAGTGTCTCTGCATGGGTATGTGTGTCATTCCCTGCACGTGCCCTGTGCATGCATGTGTGCGTGTGACTCTGTGTGCATGAGTGCGAATAGGTGTGTGTCCCCGTGTGCCTGTGACTCTGTGTGCATGAGTGCGAATAGGTGTGTGTCCCCCTGTGTGCCTGTGACTCTGTGTGCATGAGTGCGAATAGGTGTGTGTCCCCCTGTGTGCCTGTGACTCTGTGTGCATGAGTGCGAATAGGTGTGTGTCCCCCTGTGTGCCTGTGACTCTGTGTGCATGAGTGCGAACAGGTGTGTGTCCCCCTGTGTGCGTGTGACTCTGTGTGCATGAGTGCGAATAGGTGTGTGTCCCCCTGTGTGCCTGTGACTCTGTGTGCATGAGTGCGAATAGGTGTGTGTCCCCCTGTGTGCCTGTGACTCTGTGTGCATGAGTGCGAATAGGTGTGTGTCCCCGCTTGTGCGTGTGACTCTGTGTGCATGAGTGCGAATAGGTGTGTGTGTCCCCCTGTGTGCGTGTGACTCTGTGTGCATGAGTGCGAATAGGTGTGTGTCCCCCTGTGTGCCTGTGACTCTGTGTGCATGAGTGCGAATAGGTGTGTGTCCCCATGTGTGCGTGTGACTCTGTGTGCATGAGTGTGAATAGGTGTGTGTCCCCGCGTGTGCGTGTGACTCTGTGTGCATGAGTGCGAATAGGTGTGTGTCCCCCTGTGTGCGTGTGACTCTGTGTGCATGAGTGCGAATAGGTGTGTGTCCCCCTGTGTGCCTGTGACTCTGTGTGCATGAGTGCGAATAGGTGTGTGTCCCCCTGTGTGCGTGTGTCATAATGCAGAGCTAGCACCACTGTTACCTTAACCCATGTATTTCATCTGCCTCACCATTTGGAGGGATGGACATGTCCCATGGCTCCACCCCTGTGGCATCCCCACTGAGTACTGCCCTAGTGCCCACAGGCCTGCTCTGGGGTCTCCACAGCCATCCTCTGCTAGTTATTGTCTGGAGTGACAGTTATTGCATCTTTCCTGAGAGCTCGGCTCCTGTTGATTCTGTTATTAAACTCCTGGTTCTGGTCTGGTGACGGCTTGTCCCCTGCAGGCCAGGGGAGGTTGGGTTCTGAGGCCAGTGAGTGATGGGCAGTCACACCACACTGAAGGGACTTATTAATCTGCAGGGTCATGAAGAAAAGCCCCAGAAGGGTCCAGGCTTTTAGCAGGATTAGAGTTTTAACTGGGCACCCTGTCCCATTCCTCTCAGGAATCCTGCAAACAGAGGCAGGCAGCCCCCCACCGGCTGACCCTGGGCTTCCCACTTGCCATCTGGTCAGGGCGAAGTCCCACTTGACACTGAGTGGAGGGTTCTTCCCAGAGAACAGGAGCTTGGGAACCAGCCCTGCATGCCTGCTGGAGGCAGCTTTGCTGCTGCTGGCGATGCTGGCTGCTGCAGCCTGTCCCAGCAAGGAGCATTGCTCAGTGGCTCTTGAGCATCCGCTGTCATTATTACTGCTATTTATCCTGTGAATTCCTGTAGCACTTTTTACCTCTCCGGCCTGAGCGCAGGTTTCTGGTGCTCGCTGGCTCCTCTGGGAGCATCAATCACAGGGGCTCTTGGGCAGCTTCAAGGCTGTTATTGGGTTGCCCTGCTGGGAGCCCAGGCCTATGTGGCAAGCCAGGCTCCTGGGTTAGCACAGTGGCAGGTCTGTGGCTGCACCCAGAGCGGGTTCTAGCCCAGGCTGGCGTTCTCCTGGCCCGCTGTGCTGGAGGCACCTGCTGTAGGGAGGTGGGAGGGGCTTGTTCGAAAAAGGAAAGGAAATAAATAGGAATAAAAATTTAAAAATCATCTGTCAATCCCCCGGCCCTGCTCAGGACACCTTCACTCCCAAGTCCCTTGGCAGCGCTGGTGTTGGCCAGGCTGTCTGCTTGTCTCTGGGGGCTGCTAGGCCAGGCAGAGCTTCTATTTTCCTGTTAACACCTTTGAAACCTTTATGTTTGCAAACAAAAGCTCCTGAGGGTGATAGAGATTCGGTGTCATCCTGGTGCAGCCAGGCAGCTGGGAACGGCCTCTCTCAATGCTGTGTGCACTCTGAAGCCTAATGATTGCCATTTAAACTGCAGCTTCTCCTGCTGATCGTTGGAGCAGAAACCTCCGGCCACTTCAGGCACATCTTGGGTGGTGAGCCAACTGTGGGTTGTATAGAGCCATAGAGCTTAAGGCCAGAAGGGACCCCCGAATTACCCAGTGTGCCCTGCTGCGGAACTGCTCATTGAACAGCACCCACACACCACACACAGTAAACAGACCTAGGCCAAAGCATTTCACAGGCAGAGCCCAGGAGGGACCGAGGCACCAGCGGTGCCCAAGGCACCTACCCTGGCAGAGCATGGATTAGCTGAGATGTATGATCCCAGCCGGACACACACACACACACGCTGAGACATGCTGACTCACGCTCCGCGAACCAGCTGAGCAGCGGGGAACCAGCTGAGCAGTGGGGAACAGCAGAGCAGCACACAGCAGGAGTTTGCCTGGGATTGGTGAGTATCCGAGTGCATGTTTGCTGAGTGAGTATCCAGAGTGTGTGTTTGCTGGGAGGGCAGTTTGAAAGCCTGAGCGAGTGCCTGATTGGGTGGTAGCCTGCAGGGGGCGGGTATTGGGGCTGTCTGTTTGTTTGTTTCAGGGAAGCCTGGCTGTTTAAAAATAGTCAGAGCTCCGCAAACCAGCAGAGCAGCGAGGAACAGCAGAGCAGCACACAGCAGGAGTTTGCCTGGGAGTTCACCTGGAGGGAGCCCAATGAGGCTTACATCTTGCCAACTTCTCTGAGGAAGCTCATAGTAGGAAGGTGATATGGAAGCGGGGGGTTCAGCTATTGTGACCTGCACTGGATGTGCCATGTTTGTCTTTCTTCCACAGGACAGAAGCGACTTTGTCTGTACAAAGTGCAAGCTAGTATCCATATTGGAAGAGAAGATCAAAGATCTGGAGCTACAGATATCGACCCTGCGTTGCATACGAGAATCTGAGGATTTTCTGGATAAAAGTCAGGATATGCTTCTACGGGCACAAAGCTCTAAAGATTTAGAGCAGGTTGCACAGCGGAGCCAAGAGGCCAGTGAGGAAGCTTGGCAACATGTGACCTCCAGAAGAAGAAGGGGGAGTGTCCGGGTACCAGCAACACAAACACAGGTAAGTAACCGTTTTCATGTTCTCTCCACAGGTACCATTGTGGAGAGTGGACCAGATGATACATCTGGGGGGAGAAAGCAGAAGGAGACTCCGCTGGTTGGAAGACATGAGATGCTCTGTCCTGAGGTTGGGGCTTCCACGACCACCACTCCCAAGAGAAGGAGGCGGGTGGTGGTGGTCGGGGACTCTCTCCTCAGGGGGACTGAGTCATCTATCTGCCGCCCTGACCGGGAAAACAGAGAAGTCTGCTGCTTGCCAGGGGCTAAGATTCGTGATGTGACGGAGAGACTGCCGAGACTCATCAAGCCCTCGGATCGCTACTCCTTCCTGCTTCTCCACGTGGGCACCAATGATACTGCCAAGAATGACCTTGAGCGGATCACTGCGGCCTACGTGGCTCTGGGAAGAAGGATAAAGGAGTTTGAGGCACAAGTGGTGTTCTCGTCCATCCTCCCAGTGGAAGGAAAAGGCCGGGGTAGGGACCGTCGAATCGTGGAAGTCAACGAATGGCTATGCAGGTGGTGTCGGAGAGAAGGCTTTGGATTCTTTGACCATGGGATGGTGTTCCATGAAGGAGGAGTGCTGGGCAGAGACGGGCTCCACCGAACGAAGAGAGGGAAGATCATCTTTGCGAGCAGGCTGGCTAACCTAGTGAGGAGGGCTTTAAACTAGGTTCACTGGGGGAAGGAGACCAAAGCCCTGAGGTAAGTGGGAAAGCGGGATCCTGGGAGGAAGCACAGGCAGGAACGTCTATGAGGGGAGGGCTCCTACCTCATACTGAGAAAGAGGGGCGATCAGCGGGTTATCTCAAGTGCCTATATACAAATGCACAAAGCCTTGGAAACAAGCAGGGAGAACTGGAGGTCCTGGTGATGTCAAGGAATTATGACGTGATTGGAATAACAGAGACTTGGTGGGATAACTCACATGACTGGAGTACTGTCATGGATGGTTATAAACTGTTCAGGAAGGACAGGCAGGGCAGAAAAGGTGGGGGAGTAGCACTGTATGTAAGGGAGCAGTATGACTGCTCAAAGCTCCAGTACGAAACTGCAGAAAAACCTGAGTGTCTCTGGATTAAGTTTAGAAGCGTGAGCAATAAGGGTGATGTAGTGGTGGAAGTCTGCTATAGACCACCGGACCAGGGGGATGAGGTGGATGAGGCTTTCTTCCGGCAACTCGCAGAAGCTACTAGATCGCACGCCCTGGTTCTCATGGGCTACTTTAATCCTGATATCTGCTGGGAGAGCAATACAGCGGTGCATAGACAATCTAGGAAGTTTTTGGAAAGTGTAGGGGATAATTTCCTGGTGCAAGTGCTAGAGGAGCCAACTGGGGGGGGAGCTTTTCTTGACCTGCTGCTCACAAACTGGGAAGAATTAGTGGGGGAAGCAAAAGTGGATGGGAATCTGGGAGGCAGTGAGCATGAGTTGGTTGAGTTCAGGATCCTGACACAGGGAAGAAATACGGACCCTGGACTTCAGGAATACGGACCCTGGACTTCAGGAAAGCAGACTTCGACTCCCTCAGGGAACTGATGGGTAGGATCCCCTGGGGGAATAACATGAAGGGGAAAGGAGTCCAGGAGAGCTGGCTGTATTTCAAGGAATCCCTATTGAGGTTACAGGGACAAACCATCCCGATGTGTCGAAAGAATAGTAAATATGGCAGGCGACCAGCTTGGCTTAACGGTGAAATCCTTGCGGATCTTAAACATAAAAAAGAAGCTTACAAGAAGTGGAAGATTGGATAAATGACCAGGGAAGAGTATAAAAATATTGCTTGGACATGTAGGAATGAAATTAGGAGGGCCAAATCACACCTGGAGCTGCAGCTAGCAAGAGATGTTAAGAGTAACAAGAAGGGTTTCTTCAGGTATGTTGGAAACAAGAAGAAAGCCAAGGAAAGTGTGGGCCCCTTACTGAATGAGGGAGGCAACCTATTGACAGAGGATTTGGAAAAAGCTAATGTACTCAATGCTTTTTTTGCCTCTGTCTTCACAAACAAGGTCAGCTCCCAGACTGCTGCGCTGGGCATCACAGCATGGGGAGTAGGTGGCCAGCTCTCTGTGGAGAAAGAGGTGGTTAGGGACTATTTAGAAAAGCTCGACGTGCACAAGTCCCTGGGGCCGGACGCGTTGCATCCGAGAGTGCTAAAGGAATTGGCGGCTGTGATTGCAGAGCCATTGGCCATGATCTTTGAAAACTCATGGCGAACGGGGGAAGTCCCGGATGACTGGAAAAAGACTAATGTAGTGCCAATCTTTTAAAAAGGGAAAGAGGAGGATCCTGGGAACTACAGGCCAGTCAGCCTCACCTCAGTCCCCGGAAAAATCATGGAGCAGGTCCTCAAGGAATCAATCCTGAAGCACTTACACGAGAGGAAAGTGATCAGGAACAGTCAGCATGGATTCACCAAAGGAAGGTCATGCCTGACTAATCTAATCGCCTTCTATGATGAGATTACTGGTTCTGTGGATGAAGGGAAAGCAGTGGATGTATTGTTTCTTGACTTTAGCAAAGCTTTTGACACGGTCTCCCACAGCATTCTTGTCAGCAAGTTAAAGAAGTATGGGCTGGATGAATGCACTATAAGGTGGGTAGAAAGTTGGCTAGATTGTGGGGCTCAATGGGTAGTGATCAATGGCTCCATGTCTAGTTGGCAGCCGGTATCAAGTGGAGTGCCCCAGGGGTCGGTCCTGGGGCCGGTTTTGTTCAATATCTTCATTGATGATCTGGAGGATGGTGTGGATTGCACTCTCAGCAAATTTGCGGATGATACTAAACTAGGAGGAGTGGTAGATAGGCTGGAGGGCAGGGATAGGATACAGAGGGACCTAGACAAATTGGAGGATTGGGCCAAAAGAAATCTGATGAGGTTCAATAAGGATAAGTGCAGGGTCCTGCACTTAGGATGGAAGAACCCAATGCACCGCTACAGACTAGGGACCGAATGGCTAGGCAGCCGTTCTGAGGAAAAGGATCTAGGGGTGACAGTGGACGAGAAGCTGGATATGAGTCAGCAGTGTGCCCTTGTTGCCAAGAAGGCCAGTGGCATTTTGGGATGTATAAGTAGGGGCATAGCCAGCAGACCGAGGGACGTGATCGTTCCCCTCTATTCGACATTGGTGAGGCCTCATCTGGAGTACTGTGTCCAGTTTTGGGCGCCACACTACAAGAAGGATGTGGATAAATTGGAGAGAGTCCAGCGAAGGGCAACAAAAATGATTAGGGGTCTGGAACACATGACTTATGAGGAGAGGCTGAGGGAACTAGGATTGTTTAGTCTGAGAAGAGAAGAATGAGGGGGGATTTGATAGCTGCTTTCAACTACCTGAAAGGGGGTTCCAAAGAGGATGGTTCTAGACTATTCTCAGTGGTAGAAGAGGACAGGACAAGGAGTAATGGTCTCAAGTTGCAGTGGGGGAGGTTTAGGTTGGATATTAGGAAAAACTTTTTCACTAGGAGGGAGGTGAAACACTGGAATGCGTTACCTAGGGAGGTGGTAGAATCTCCTTCCTTAGAGGTTTTTAAGGTCAGGCTTGACAAAGCCCTGGCTGGGATGATTTAATTGGGGATGGGTCCTGCTTTGAGCAGGGGGTTGGACTAGATGACCTCCTGGGGTCCCTTCCAACCCTGATATTCTATGATTCTAAGTACATATGATCCCAGCCAGGGAGACACGCACATACACGCTGAGAGTATGATCCCAGCCGGGGAGACACGCACGAACACACACACACACACACACACAGACATATGATCCCAGCCGGGGACACACACACACATACACTGAGATATATGATCCCAGCCAGGGATACACACACACACACACACACACACACACAGGAAAACTACATCATAGGGGGGGAAATTCTCTTCACCCTGCAGGTGACTGGCTGAAGCCCTGATGCATGAGAATTTAGGAACATAAGACATGAAGCAGAAGGGACCCTAAGAACTGCTGAGTCCTGCCCTCCGCCATCACAAGTAACCCCATCGTGCAATCCCACTCATACATTTGTCGCGCTCTCTTTTAAAACGAGTCCGTGTCTTTGCCGCACAACTCCCATTGAGGGGTTGTTGCAAAAGCTCACTGCTCTGATGGTTAGAAACCTTCTAATGTCCAGCCTCTGTTTGTTCACAGCCAGTTTATCCCCATTTGTTCGTGTGGCAACATTGTCCTTTAGCTTCAATAGTTCTCCTCCCTCCCTGGCGTTTACCCCCTATAGAGAGCAAGCAGGTCACCTCTCAGCCTTCATCTCACTAGGCTAAAGCAGCCAAGCTCTTTTCGTGTCCCTTTGTAAGATCAGCCCTCCATCCCCCTGATCGTCCACCTAGCCCCTAGCCCTGCATCTCTTCCAGTTGGAATTTATCTTTCTTGATCATGGGAGACCAGAACTGCAGTGTTCCAGAGGAGGGCTTACCAGTGCCTTGTACAATGGCATTAATGCTTCCCGATCTCTACTGGAAAGGCCTCCTCTGATACATCCGAGAGTCTCAGGTCTTTCTCCTCCTCTGTCACGTTCAACTGATGAGCCCCCAGTGTATTGCCGAAATTCTTGTTATTAGTTCCTAAGTGCACGACGTTGCACTTCATGCTATTACATTCCATCCCATTTCTATTACTCCAGTCCTCAAGGTCACCCAACTCTGCCAGTCCTCCTCTGTGCGGCTGCCTCCCAGCATTATGTCATCAGCAAATTTTATTCGCACCCTCCTACTTTTTGTGTCAAGGGCATAAGGACCCCTGAGGAACCTGACAAGCAACCTCCCTCCAGCCCCACAGCTCACCTTTTCAGCACAGCCTGTTGTCAGCTCCGCCGTCAAGTGCCTTTCTGAAGTCCAGATACATTCGATCACCTGCATTTTCCTCCCCATTCTGGCCCTGAGTTTCTGAGGCTGTAATGCACCTGGACGGCCTCTGAGCAATCCCAGGCTGGACAGAGCCACCTGCCCCTCTGCCTGGTGAGAGCCACGCCTGCTCCACTCCCCTGGCTGGGTGGGTCTCCCTCCCTGGCTGAGGAAATGAGCTTAGGGAGGGCAGTGTACGGCTCTGTGACTAGGCTCCTCACCCCCTCAGGAGGACACCACACTTTGCATGAGCTGGGCGCTCGCCGCTGTCTCATTCTCGCTAGCTCAGCGGGCTGTGGGCTATGCCAGTTCTCTGCTCTGGGGCAGCCTGAGCAAACACCAGCTGGCTCCCAGCTTGGCAGTCGGAGGTGCTGCACAGGCCCTGGCTGATTTATAAGCCACCGATGAGAGCCGGGTGCCCCAAGACATCGCCCACCCTGCCTCTGAGTAGCCTGAATGGCAATGGCTGGAATGGAACTAAATTAAAAACCAGTGACAGCCGACCCTGGGGAAAGTACTAATTCAGGGAGAGCAGAGTCATGGTCGGGGGAGCAGGGGAACCTCACCAGATACCAGATAGGAAAGTGGCTGCACCTCACAGAGCCAGCACAGACAGGGCCAGGCGGCAACTCCCCAAATCATGGCCAGAGCTGGATAGGAGCCAGTGACCCCCCCACCCCCAAACCTAGCAACATACACCCAAAGTGCTTGGCAACACACCCCGTGTCCTGCCCCTTCCATGGGCTACAGGGTCACAGGCAGGTATCCAGAGACATGCATACATGTACCAAGATACATGCACAGATGAGCCTGGGCACAGAAACATGTTCATGAGCTCACGTCCGCACACA